TTTGGCTGGCAAGAAGGTGTTAAGAAAATTGAGCAACAAACTAAAGCTGGTCATAGATGGTTCAAATCTCGGCCAGTTCAGCAGGGACCGGCCAAGACTTGAACCATGTATGGACGGGCTGAATGCACCCAAGTTGATTGATTGATCAATGTGGGTACAACCAGCCTGTTGGATTTTGCATCCAATTATTGTCAATGGCTATCATAGCTAATAGCAATAATCACTGTGTTCTTCCAGCGGGGATGGCTCCCCAAACCCTGTCAGGAGAACAAAATATCTCCACAGGAGGGATTCCCCCATCAACGCTGACTGTGTTGATGGGGGAATCAAGCAATTTTCTTTGGAAAGAAAATCGCTCCGTCTATGGCCAGCTTAATGGTGTATTAAGCCAATGTGTATAGCGTGATTGCACCATTCCAAGCTGGAGCTCGATAATCACCTCACTGGTATGAAGAGGGAGCGGTGTCCAAAAATGTTTCAGCCTAATGGTGGCCATATACGTAACAATCTGATTGAATGATCCTTCACAGATATTATGATTGGATCCTTTAAAGCGGAGTTCCAGCCGTTTTTGTGTTTATTAAAAGTCAGCAGCTGCAAAAACTGTAGGTCTGACTTTTAAAAAAACACACACCTGTCCCAGGATCCAGCCATCCCTTCTCTTCTTCTCTCCTCCTCTGCGCCGGCATCTCAATTGTGGGCACCAGGCTGTGACAGCTTGCACCTTCACAGCCTGGTGCCCACTGAGCATGTGCGAGTTGCGCTGCACATTCTGATTGGTCCTGCAGTATTTTGGGACCTGTGAAAGTTCCCAGGAGACTGCAGGAGAAAGGAGGGGGCTGAAGTTCCAGCCAGGGGCGGAGTGACCATTTGGAAACTCAGGCACTGCCGAGGATCCGGGGTCAATAGGGGGCCCCATGAGATGCCCCTGGTACCTTTTTCATAGGTTTTTTTGAGTTTGGGCAAGGACACAGGGACCACATGATTCCCTATTTCCCTGGGGCCCCATGAGTTGTCAGTCTGCCCCTGGTTCTAGCTCACTTCACTGCGGCAAACTGAGCCAGAAGTGGGAGCGGGTACCTGTCAAAAGCAGGTATGTGCTCCCCCCTCCCTCTCAAAAGGGCAGTAGAGGGGGGAGGCAAATAAGCAGAGCTTCCGCTTTTCAGTGGAACTCCGCTTTAAATATTGACAAGGCACATCAATCGATATTAAGCAAAACCGTTCGATTTATTCAAAATTATTCTGATCAGTCTGGATAGAAAATCGGATTGTAGGAACACACATTTATTTTTATTTATTTCAGGTACTTATATCATGCAATATGATTGTTTAGTGTATGGCGCATCCATTTTTTTTCCAATCTCCCAGTCGTATTTCTGATCCGATCGTAAATCTATAGAAAACACATTCATATAAAAATCGCTCTATTTATGGCTATGATCATAGTCAAATGCATCAAGCCCACAACAACCACAAGGGAAAGAAAAACTGAACTAGACAAGAATTTGCAAAAATCAGTTGACATGAAAGTAGAAATGATTATCTAGTTTACTGCTTTTAATCGTCATACGTCAGCAGGAATCATTAGGCTGTATATTGGTAGAGGTAAACAAACCATATGTGCTCTCCTGGCTACCTGGCTGTCACCTATGTACATATGTCTGATCTGCTCTGGCTGCCCTCTGCTGGCAGAAGGAGGGAACAGCGTCAGCAGTCTTTACCCGGCTGATAGGTGTGGTGTCTTGGTAGCGGCACGCTCTGCTCGTTCCCCATGCTGTATGCAGACTTGCAGCTTCTGGAGCGGCTGTGGTGTCGGCCAGTCGGTTCCCACTCACACACACTAGTATGGCGGGTAGTACACCTGGCAGCTCTCCTGGCTTGCCATGTCCCGCCGCCGCCAGGTTTGAAATGCAGTCACGTGTCCCCGAGTCCTGCCTTCCCTCCAGTGCTGAGTGTAGTGTGTACACCGCTCTGCCTATGGCAGGCACAAGGAGGAGTGCCACCTCATCCCTATAAAACACATTCATGACACAGGTTCTGGGGCCAAGTTATTGCACACAAGGCACTGAGTGACTGTAACCGCTTGCCTACCGGGCACTTCTACCCCCTTTGTGCCCAGGCCAATTCAAGACTTTCAGCGCTGTCGCACTTTGAATGACAAATGCGCGGTCATGCAACACTATACCTATATGGAATTTCTATCACACAAATATAGCTTTCTTTTGGCTGTATTTAATCACCACTGGGGTTTTTATGTTTTGCACTATAAACAAAATAAGAGAGAAAAACTTAGAAAAAAAAAATTTTTTCTTTGTTTCTAATATACAATTTTGCAAACAAATAATTTTTCTCCTTCACTGATGTGCATTGATGAGGCTGCACTGATAGCCAGCACTGATGGGCACTGATGAGGTGGCAAGGATAGGCAGCACTGATAGGCGACACTGATGAGGCAGCACTGAGTGGGGGCACTGATAGGTAGCACTGATGAGCACTGATAAGGTGGCACAGATAGGCAGCACTGATGGGCATTGATGAGGTGGCACGGATAGGCAGCACTAATAGGCGACACTGATGAGGCAGCACTGAGTGGGGGCACTGCTGGGGGTACTGATAGGCAGCACTGATGGGCACTGATGAGGCTGCACTGATTGGCACTGATGAGGTGGCACAGATAGGCAGCACTGATGGGCACTGATAGATGACACTGATGAGGCAGCAGTGATGATGCTGCACTGATATGCAGCACTGATGGACACTGATAAGCGGCACTGACTGGTGGGACTGATGGGTGGCACTGATGGGCACAGGTAGGTGGCACTGTTGGGCACTGGTGGGTGGCACTGATGGGAACAGGTGGGTGGCACTGCTGGGCACTAAGGATGGCACTAATAGGCACTGAGGATAGCACTGATGGGCAGCACTGCTGGGCACTGATCATCAGGGCACTGATCATCAGTGCTGATCTCTTCTGTGACAGCTGTCAGTTATCGGCAGTACTTTCCTCACACCATGAGGAAATACAACTGTATTTACTCAGTGATCTGCTGTGTCATTGGACACGGCTGATCACGTGGTAAAAGGCCGCTCTGATTGGCCTTTTACCACATCACGTGATCAGCTGTGTCCTTAGGACGCAGCAATCACGGAGATCACCGAGTGCGCACTGCTAGAGGCACACAGCTGGGGGGCACATGGGTGGGTGCATTCTGGGAAGACATTGTATGATACCCTCCCAGAACTGGACAGCCGTCATTCAGCTATAGCTCGGTTGCCAAGTGGTTAAAGCAGAGTCCCACCCAAAAGGGGAAGTTCCGCTTTAAGGACTGCTCCCAATTAAGGATTGGCACCTTTGGGGGGGCAGGGGGAGCGGGTACCCGAATTTGACAGGTACCCGCTCCCACTTCCGGTCCGATTGCCTAGGCGATTGGAAACGGAAGGTGTCCTCCCTCCCTCCCTGTAGTCTTTTGGGACACGTGGCAGGTTCCAGAAGACTACAGGACCATTCACGAAGTGCAGAGCTACTCGCACATGCGCAGTGGGTACCCGGCTGTGAAGCCGCAAGCTATCACAGCTGGGTGCCCACACTGAAGATGCCGACCTCCTAGAATACAGGATGGCGGGTGAAACGGGCTGCAGGGGACACCCCACGGGACCGAGGGACAGGTAAGTGGCTGTTTTTTAAAAGTCAGCAGCTACAGTTTTTTGTAGCTGCTGACTTTTATTTTTTGACAGGTGAGTGGAACTCCACTTTAAGTAACGCATCAATCAGCCACAGAACCTGTGTAATGAATATGTGTTCAGTTTTACAGGGATGAGTTGGCCACCCTAAGCTCACCACACACCATACAGGCACAGGCTGCCTTAGCCTTCATGTGGTGACCAAGGCTTCAGGCACGCTGGGCCTTTTGTAATACTCTCCTAGTAGGAGAAAAGAAGCTTCAAAAATGCGCCACAGCCACATTTTTGCAAATGCACTTAGGCTCAGCGAGTGCGTGGGAGTTTACTTGAGCATCCGGCATATTCTTTTTTTCTGGCTATTGGAATGAAAAAACACTCAAGCGCTTAGGCCCCTTTAGATGCGTTTACGTGCATTTAGATGCGTCAGGTGGTTTTTTTGCCTAAACGCTCCTCTCCTGAACACAATTTTTGTGTGTTACATTTTCTGCCTCAAAATGCCCCTGCCTCTATACTGCTCAACCCCAATGCATTATTGTACACTTGTTTAGATTTAATAAAGGCAAATAGACTGTGCACTTTGCAAAGTGCATCTGCTCCAGAGCTTAGTACATGAGGTAAAGCTCCACTTTGCAAAGAATACCCAATCACATGGAAGAAAAAAAAAAACAACACTTTTCTTCTCTAGAATCCTCCTTCTCCCTACATGAAAATCTCTCCTTTTTTCATTTGTCTTTTTATTTTGCACATTATGGCCTAGTCCCCATCCTCCATTCTTGCCTAGGCAAGATGGTGTGCATCCTGGGTTATGCATGGCACATATCCCATCCCAGGAAGCATTAGCTTACATTCATGGAAGAGGAGAGGGGCAAACCTTCCGATGCATCATTGGGGGGAGATAAATACTTGAACCCAGAAGAGACAACCTCTTCCCCATGATGCCATGGAGGAAGGGAGCGGCGCAGGACCTGAGCAGTAGCAGCATAAAAAACAGATTGCAGCCGGAGAACGCAGGATGTGCTGGGTGGGTGAATATCTGATTTTTTAGGACAATCCAACATCAGGTAAGAGGGGATTTAAAAAAAAAGGGGGGTAAAGTTCCTCTTAAAATTGGACACTTTTACACTGTGTTGCTATAGCTGAGACAAATTCAAAAAGAAATACTGTCATATCAAAGCGGAGTTCCAGCTGAAAAAAAAAAAGTCAGCAGCTACAAAAACTGTAGCTGCTGACTTTTAAAATACAGCCACTTACCTGTCCCTCGGTCCCGTGGTGTCCTCACCATGGCTGGTTTCACCAGCCGTCTTCTCTCCCTGGTTCCAGCATCTTTAGTGTGGGCACAAGGCTGTGACAACTGCGGCTTCAGAGCCGGGTGCCCACTGCGCATGCGCGAGAAGCGCTACGTTTTGTGAATGGGCCCATAGTCTTCTTGGACCTGTCGTGTCCCAGAAGACATTGGGGAGGGAGGGGGCAGGACAACTTCCGCTTCCGATCGCCTAGGTGATTGCAGCAGAAGTGAGAGCAGGTACCTGTCAATGTGCCAATCCTTAATGGGGAGCGGGGGACAAAGGCTTAAAGCGGAACTTCCCCTTTTGGGTGGAGCTCCGCTTTAATAAGGTAAGAGGTGGTGATAAGACCTCATTTGTTTTGGAGTAAGTAGGTTTTGAAAATGCTTGACTGAATGAGAGGATGGTAGGATGGTAGCAGAATCGGGAACAGTGTATCAGATTCAATGGGAGAGTGCTGAATAATGAAACACAGTATAATAATGTAGCAAAGTATTGACAGATGCTGGAAGAAAACTGATGAAGAATGAATGGCAATGGAGGTAAACTTTATGTAACATTATTCCTCTTCACTATTTCTTTACACTGTATATCAGGGGTAGGCAACCTAGAGGTGGAGATCTACCTGAACAACATGGGAGAACTCATAGATCACAGGGCACAGTGTCACCCAGAGTTACATCCTCACACCTGATTTCAACCTCTGATTGCCGTACTACCTTATCACAATTGCGTGCATTGCACAGCAATCAAGGGTTTAAATCACTGGTCTACCATTACACAAGCTATCCCCCCTTCAGTCTATTATGAACACTGCTGCTAGACTCATACACCGTACCAACCGATCAGCGACTGCTGCCCCTCTCTGCCAATATCTTCATTGGCTTTCACTAACTCAACGTATAAAATTCAAAATACTAACCACAGCTTACAAAGCCATCCATAACACTGCCCTAGCTACATCACCGACCTCATCCACAGATACCGCCCAAATCACTCGCTCCACTCCTCCCATGATATCTTCCTCTCTAGCTCCCTCATCACCTCCTCCCACGCTCGCCTCCAGGACTTCTCCAGAGCCTCTCCCATCCTCTGGAACTCCGTTCCACAGTATATCTGGTCAGCCTCCACCCTGTCTGCCTTTAGGCGATCTTTGAAAACTCACTTATTCAGGAAAGCCTACACCACCTCCACCTAAGAACCAGGGGCGGACTGACCATTTGGAAATTCGGGCACTGGCCGAGGGCCCGGGGTCAGTAGAGGGCCCCATGAGATGCCCCTGGTACCTTTTTCATAGGCTTTTTTGAGTTTGGGCAAGGACACAGGGGCCCCATGATCCCCTATTGCCCAGGGGCCCCATGAGTTGTCAGTCCGCCCCTGCTAAGAACTGTACTTGAATCATCCCCCGCAGTTATCACCTTTTGTATCACCTCCCCCTTCCTTTAGATTGTAAGCTCCATGAGCAAGGCCCTCACATTCCTTCTGTACTGAAATGTATTGTAATTGTACTGTCTCCCTTATATTGTAAAGCGCAGCGCAAACTGTTGGCGCTATATAATTTCTGTATAATAATAATAAATCAGGTGGTAAGGACTGAGGCAACATATCTCCTCCTCACCACCTATCAAACACACTCAAATCGCTTTTCAGAGGAGCAGCAGTGCCCTGCTGCACTTGTGAATGAACCCTTAGTTGCATTCAGCAGCGGCAACCTTAGAGGTCGTTCACATGTAAAGGTGTACACATGCCACAGCAAGAATTAAACCCCCTGTTGCTTCTGGTGGCTGCAACCACATGCCAATTGTGACACATTCAAGCAAATAGGCCACTCTGCAAATGTCCCGCAACTGCATGGTTCTGCGGGGTTCAAGCAGGTGGTGAGAAAGCAACAAAATGCTGCCTGCTTTAACCCCTTGTTTGCTGTACGGCACAAGGTTGCAGAGCGGTCTTATTCACTTGAATGGGTCATGCTTGGCAGGTGCTACAACCACCAAGCATGACAGGGTGTATAACTCCTGCTGCAGCTGCAACATCCCTGGCCACTGCAAGTAAAGGGGGTGCATTTGGGGCGGGGGTGGTAAGAACACATCTTAACTATGAGGTTTTACCCCCCCCAAAACCCTTACTGTTCTGAGCCCCCTATAGGGCTGCTATCACACTTATGCACTGTGCTTACTCACATCACTGGTGCAGAACAATGCATCTGCGACTTTCCTGTGTCTGCTGCTCTTAGCCATGGGCTTCTGTTATATCCTGCTCGTTTGGTGCACTTTTTGAAAGTGCAGCAAAACTTTTGAATGCGGGAGTTTTGGTGTGCTTTCAGAATGTGCACCATACTAGCAGAATATAATAGAAGTCTATGGCAAAGCGCAGCTAACCCAGGAAACTCACAGATGCACTGCACTGCACCTACGATGCAGGTAAACTGCAGAACATCAGTGTATTGCTTCACACTGACCTGAAGATCTCTTCTTTCCTTCTGCTGGCACCATTCTGGAGACTGCTAGCAGGGATAAGAGGTGGAGTGCAGTTGTTATCACTCCGCATGGGCAGGAACCAGCACTACAGAGGAGGCATCAGATTATGCAGCTCTTGTTCCCTATTACAGCTCCAACTTTACAAGTAGTCCCTCTGCATTAAACAAAATAATAAAACTTTTCCTTACAATAAATAAATAACAAAAATAAACAAAAAGATAAAATCAAACCCACATAAAGACATGAAACCAAAAGAATGTCCCAAATATCCAAAATTCAAAAAAATACAAAATATATAATCCAAAGAAATGATAATCCAAAAAAATATATAATAATCAAAAAAAATATAATCCAAAAAAAATAAATAAATAAATAATCCCCACAGGTGTAAATAGTAATTTTCTTTCTTCTTTCATCAAACACTCCTTCTCAATATCCGCAAATCCTGATGACAGTACACCTCAAAAAGAAAAAACTTGACATAGTGTCATACCTTTTATATAATACAACACACGTGCCACGCAGCATGCAAAATCCTTTATAAATGTGTATATTCTATGGACGAGAATCTATACACATGCAAAAATTCTATAGTGAATATAAATATAAGTGAAACACACTCATATAACAAAAGTGTCAAAAACACCATGTGTAAAAACAAATCCCAATTAACACTGCAAGTGTATATCTCAGTGATCCCTTAGAACCAAAAGCAACACTCTCCAAACTCATATGCTGATGGGTAATTACCCTATATCAAAAGCATCAGGGCAGGACACCACTCTAGGTTAGTTTCTCCTCCAACCGATTGTATCCAAATACTAGGGTTTTACTTCCATTTTCAAGAAAATCCACAGTCACAGATAGTCTATAACATATCCTCCTTTATTGGTAACTCACATAAAATCTAGGTGAAAACAGCTCCTCCTCACAGGGATGCAAGTGTGGACAGATTCAGGGAAACATTGGCCACATGTTCCCACTTCCAAGATGGCCGCGATCGCACTTCCGGTCAACGTCGATACGTCTGACGTCACGTTGTCTGACGCGTTTCGTCACTTCCTATGACTTTTTTTCTGAAAAAAAGGGCACAGAAATGCCCTGATTCACCTCTTCTTTTGGGTCTCTGCCGGCGCTCTGGCCCCCCTGCCGAGTGCCCCCAGAGCAATGCACACCATGGATCTTCAAATGTTGTCCCAAATTTTTATTGCAGGAAGACCACATCACAAAAGTACAACTAATCAGAGCTGCACAGGACCCCTGCATTGCAATAAAAGTTTGAAGAACCTTGATGTGCTGACGAATATGTGCATTGATCCGTGATGTTTCCAGTACCCAGCTGGTAGTCACTGCAGCACTTAATACTAAAGAGCACTGTTTCTAGGAATGTGTGCAATGGGAATATAGAAAAGATTGCCCCCAGAGCAAGCCACTCGCTATGGGGACATTCGTACATGCTTGCTCCTGAGCTGGCTCTAAGTGTCCAGACCCCACTCTCTCCTTACTGGCTGTGATTGACAGCAGCAGGAGCCAATGGCTCCTGCTGCTGCCTCACTGTCCAATGAGGAGAGAGAGAGAGAGCCAAGAGAGCTGCTGCTCTTGTGCACATTGCTGGATCGATATCAGGCTCAGGAAAGTATAAGGGGGGCTGGGGGAAAAGCTCCATGCAGAAGGTTGTTTTTTACCTTAAAGCAGAGAATGCATTAAAGTGTTACTAAACCCAGGATCCTGCATTCACTATATCTGATCTCCCTCAGTACACACAACATGGAAATAAAATTGTTTTAGTAAATACAGATAAATACATTTTCTCATCAGAAGTTAGAGCACTCTTGTGACTTCTATCAGTGTTCAGCCAAGCACTAGATACAGCTTGTAGGAGTTTTCTTTCTGCTCTAGGAGTATGCAAAACCCCTGACCTCTGTTTGGACAGTGCTGATTTGGCCCTGTGCTGATCACATGCACTCTCCCCCCCCCAAAAAAAGCTCTCTAGCAATACAAACTAAACTGAGTATTTGCAGAATGGCTATGAGTTCAGTCTGTCTTATCAGGAGATAAGATGTAGGCATTTGAAGAAGGGGAGGAGCAAAGAAGACAGGATCAAACAGCCTTTTTACACAATGCAGAGGATTAACCCCTTAGGTTCCACAGTGAGTATAACAAGCATGCTTTACTGCATATACAGACTGATTTTACTGTTGTGGGTGTAGTAACACTTTAAGTTAATAAACCTTCTGCCTTTAGAAACACTTTAAGTAAATGCCACTCTAAAAATAAATGCATAACACCATTTCGCACCTCCTTTGACTCTAGTCATTGCTTTCTTGCAGAGTTAGGCCTCATTCACATAAGCGTGCTACAGCATATACCCATGTGAGAGTTGGAGCTGTGTTTGCCTACACACAGGTGTTACATGAATTCATGTGCAGGCAGTCCCATTCATTTCAATTGGGACACAGCGGCTGCACAGGTGCATTTTCTGCTCCCAATTTGACAACCATACGAGTGCGGGTACAGGGCCCCGAATGCATACAGTGTGCACCTGCACCTACATGGCTCTCAAATTGGGAGCAGCAGTTGTGTCCATGCAGCCACTACATTCCACTTGAAATGAAAGGGACTGCCTGCACAAGGATGCACTGAGCACTATAGTATGCCCATGTGAATAAGCCGTGAGCTGTTATTAAAATCTTCAGAATCCAACCTCTGGGTGTGTCGATTGCCTACAGCTCCCCACTACCCACTGTGGCCCTTTCCCCTCAGACAGCTGTAGAAACACGCTG